TATATATATATATATTATTTTATTGGTCATACAATCTTCTATCCTTACAAGAATTTCATCTTCAAAAATCAAGAACCTCACATTAGCTAATTATTATGCAGATAAAACATGAAATACCCTCAAATTATCATAAAAGTCTCATTCTTGTTAAATGATAACAAAAACAGATGCAATAAATCTTCCATCTAAGAAAATACTATCCAACTAAACAATCTCCAAACATTTGAATCATAACAACATAACTAACACAATGCTCAACTTCTGAAATCAATGTACATAAAAATACTCAGTAATAGACAACTAACATGAAAGATAACATAACACTCAAGTGACAACAGATTCTTCGGTTCCTTATGAGTTAAGGAAAAGACTCTCGGTCGTATGTTCTGCCTTGGTCGCTCCTTACGAGTCACCGTACCAACTTCTAACATTCTCTGCTGACCACTTCTAAAAGTAGGCCCCTCCTGAAAATTTCTCCTGGTTGAATCATTTCCCGATTTAGCATGTGGACCTTTGAGCGGAATTAGGACAATTTCTCATTTTGTCTCATAAGTAACACACCTTTAAGCCAAATAGACATTCAACACGATGTTGTTTTCCACACTTAGCGCATTGCCCTATAGTGTTGCTGCCAGTTTGACTGATAACTCCATTCGCATATAACTTTATCTTCTTCCTGTTGGACTCTCGAGAATAAACTATTTGTGACATTTCTTCTAACCCCTTCCTCTTGTGCATGTCCTTACGTTTTTGAGTCTGCTGAAAATCAATTTTTATTATTCTAGCCCTTTCCAATAGTACGGAATAGTCCTCAATCCTAAGTAGTACTAGTGGATGCTTGATTGAATCCTTCAATCCAAAAAATAATCTGTGGCATTTCTCATCTGTAGTGGGGATAAGTTGTGGTGCATACATCGACAACATAATAAATTTCGTTTCGTATTGCTTAATTGATCAATCACTCTGTACTATCATAATAAATTTATCTTGCATCTGTCTCCTGGCTTACAGTGATACAAACCAATCTCTGAAGATTCTCACGAACTCATCCTGCTGCACCACGTGATTGGTTTTACCTCCAAATTTCTTCTGCATTTGTCCTTGCCACCACCTCTCAGCTTCTCCCTCAAAAGTAAATGTAGCAAGGGTAACACTCCTCTCTAGTAGACATGTCATATCATTAATGATTTCCCCACCCTCAACAGCCAAATTTCAGCTTCCACTAGCCCTTCTGCTCCAAAAAACAAAGGCAGTTTCATGTACTGAAAAAGTTTCAAGTACTTATCCATCGACGGTCCTCCACTGCTACTGACATGAGGCTGAGAGTTCTTAATCATTTGCATCAATACAGCCATCATCTCAGCAAAAACATCAGCGTTAACTGTAACATTATGGGGCATGTCAGATTCAACATCATGAGCATCCCTGACTCCTATCTCTGGATCATCCATAATTTTGAAATAACAATAAAATAATTTAATTGAACTCATTTAAAGTTTAATTTTTATTATTAATAATTTAATTTAATCATCATAATGACTCTTTCATTAAGATTTATCTTATTTCATCTAAACATTTGCTCTGATGCCACTTTTGTCACGATCTGACCCAATGTTTAAAATTAATTAAGGCAATACAAATGGTCGAACGATGAAAATCAATTCTCTTATATTCTATTTCTATCTCTAATAGCTTAATATGTCGTTCTCGTCTCTCAAACACATTATCTTCTCTTTAATATTCAAACATTCATGAAGAGCCACTAAAGAAAGCAAATAAAATTAACAAAAAAAAATTTCAACATTTCTGTATGTCGTTCTCGTCTCTCAAACACATTATCTTCTCTTCTGTTCATCTTAATAAAAAAATTAAACCTGAAAAAAATGTTAAAACAACATAATGAGTTATCTAAAGATAGGCCCAGGGGCAATCACACTTCTAACTACAATAAACCAAGAAAAATTTAAAATACATGATGTTTTTTTATATCTCTATAAGAAATTATTTACTATGTTAGTTTTCAAGTCTTTCATATGAAATTTTTGAATATACTAATGCATACACCAATGACCTTTGTTATTTAACTTTAACTTTACTTTTAATTTATATATTTTTTTACATACACATCTGTCTGTTTTGAGAATCACTGTCAAAACAACATAACACACTTTTGGCTGATATTGTCTCGTCGGCACAGCGGTTAGTGATACAAACATCACAATTGCCTAAGGTGGAAACACACTTACTTGCCCCCGACCGATATTATCCCAATGGCACATCGATTAATGAGATTTATACATCAAAATTATATGGGGTGGTAAGCTCTGTCTACTTGCTCCTGGCCAATATTATTCCGACTAAAAACCTATTAACGATCTATACATCAAAATTGTATAGGGTGGTAAGCTCTGTCTACTTGCCCCTAGTCGATATTATCTCGACGACACAGCGTTAGTAAACTATCACAATTTTCTGGGATGGTAGAAAAACCTCTATGCGCGAAGGTATGCTAGCGTCTCCTCCCTGTACCATTAGAGAGTGAACTCCTCTAAACATATGTTCTCCCTCACGCGGAAATTTCTCGATTCCTTCTTCTAATTCCCATATGGCAGTTGAACAACACCATACGTGTGCCACATGCTACCCTTTCCTTCCTCTTCTTTGCTTTTCCTTGGTTAGGGCACAACAATCTCTTCTCTCTTGATTTCTCCCGTGTTCTCTCGTCTGTTCTGTTCTGTTCGATTGTGTCGAAAGGAATACAATTGATTAAGTTACAACTGAAGAGGTGCTTCCATTCGATTATCAACATTTTTTATATAAATATGTTTTTTTTTATATTTTTTTATTGGTAATTAGCAGTCACAAACCAACAAAAGAATATTTACCAAAGTGATAATTTTTGCATCAAGAATATTTGGGGAAAAAATTCAAAGACTTAATTTGTGAAGCTTGATTGCACTTTCTCTACATTGCAAGGCATGATCTCAACCTTCTTTTTTTTCTTTTTACTTGATCCTTTGATTATAAAACTAATTTTGGGTAACAAGCCTCCTTCACGCTAATAAATAGGACGGTGAACCTTTTTTTTTTTTTTTTTTGGTAAAGGGAAAAACAATTTTTTAGCTGATCACAACCCAAGCGATTAGTTGAGATCCTAACCATTTTTTCTATTCTAAAACAAAACAATTTCAAGTTCCTAATTAGAAGTTATATGAATTCATACAAGAGGATGCTCCTTTTTCATAAAACTATTGTTAGCATGTTCTCCTTACAGCAATTTTTGCCGATAAAACCAATACTTTTGCTCTCTCGATAGCTTTTCAAAAACATAAAAAAAACAGCTTTACGTACGAATTATATGTATTTCATTTAAAAAAAAGTAAATAAAAATAGATATATTTGCCTGAATGTCCGCAGACACAATTTTTCCCAACTGTGAGAGGTGAAGGATGAAACAGTCGATCAACATGTGTAATCTTTGAAATTGGCACTGATCTTCCCGCACCATTATTTCCTTCAGCTTTGTTTTTTAATGCTGCAAAGAACACATAACGATTAAATTAATGCATCATTTTTTCTTACAGTTCATGAAAAACACAACCCTTCCATGCGATTTTTAAACGCATACTTACACTGTTTCTGCAAAACTAGAGTAGGTGAAGATAAGAAGCCCTGCACAGTAGATGAAACATTTTGTATAGCTGATGATGCCCTTCTAAAAGCTGCAAAAGAGAAACATGATAACTTTGAAATGTAATTATAACTAAAATCAATAATTATTCATAAATGATAAATTTAGTAAAAATCCAAGATAAAACTGACCTACATTGTCCAAAACGGAAGCGCTGAGAATCAGCATTAAAATCACCTTCCATGAAGTCTGTTGTTTTGCCTTTTTTCAGTTTGATATCACTTTTAGCAACTTCATCAAAATAATGCTTTTCTGTTGTTTTTTCCAATAATCTCTTGAAAGATTTCAACTCGGAGGTTTTTGCACTATCATCTGCATGAACCAAAAATAAATAAATAAAAAATTAGATATCATACAAGCTGATCCCTTAAATTTCTTGAATTATTAAGATAAAAAAGAAATTTATGTCTACTGTTGTAGTAAAGACGAGCAAAGGGAGATGATGGCCAGAAATTGTCTTGCAATATTTTACGGTTGCCAAAAAGCCATGCTTTTGCTACATGCTTGGTTTTGTGAAAGTTCAAGCACAGCTGACTGCCTACCTTTTTAATAAAAAAAATCTCATCTAAATTTTTATTTTTTTATCATTTATTTATTATTTTTGGTATAAACTAGCATCCTCAATCACAACTTGTAGACAATTTAATCTTTTGTACTTAACTTTTACATTACTTTTATTTATTATTAATTGGAAGAGCTACAAGGAAATCAGTGTAATTGCCGGGTCCCAAATCCAAGATGCAAAAAGTGGAGAGTTGCATTATGTAGTCGACAGACAACATAAATTTTTTGCCGAAAAAATTATGATAAGAAATATTTAAATCATTGTGTAAATGCTATGACATCACTTGAATCGACATGTATAACTAAAATACAGTGAAAAGTATGCAAAAGCCGCTATATCGGCGCCCGGGTGCAGGTCTCCACATTATGAATGATGCGAGCAAAGAACTTAGTTCCTGAAACTAATATTAAAATAAAATCTTGGAATATAGATATTATCATAGATAAATTAATGAGATCAGTAGCTATGATTTGTAGGAAGATAAATATCTTATGCATTCAAAAAAATAAATGTGTTGGAAAAAAGACAAAGGAGTATGATAACTTAGATTTTATTTTTCAAGTAAGAGTCATATCAGAAATGATGCAAATGTAATTATAGATAAAATTTTAAAAGATAATATTATAAAAATTAATAGAATTGTAGATTAAATTATAACCCTAAAGATTATTGTACCAAGTATTTATGCTCCTCAATTAGGTATAGATATAAGTTCACAAGAAAAATTTTGGAATGACCTAGAAGAATTAATATAAATGATTTTTATTGAATATAGAATTTTTATTGGAGAAGATTTAAATAAGCATGTTAATAGAGTGGTGGAAAATTTAGAAATATTTGTGGTGGCTATGATTTTTGAGTGATTAATTAAGTGTAGAATTATATTAAATTTTATTTTGGCTTATTTTGTTAGTGCTAATATTTTATTTAAGAAAAACGATGAGCATATTATTATTTATAAAAATTGATCTAATAAAAATAACTTCATTAATTTCTTATGAGAAAAAGATATCATCGACAATGTAAAGATTGTAAGGTAGTTCCAATTGAAAATTTAAGTACTCAACATTGATTATTAGTTCTTGATCATAAGATGAGTTGAAACATAAAAAATGCAATCAAATATTGTCATAAAATTAGATAAAGACACCTAAAAAAAATAAAATTAGTTTTATGAGTAACCTCAAAATTATAAGATTTAGGATGTTCATAAAGAAAATAATTTTATGTGAGAAAAAGCATCATGCACTTTTATACATTGCAAAATAATTGAAGAATCAAAAGGAAAAAAAATTATAAATAAAAGTAATTGTTAGTGAAATAATAATATACAAGAAAAGATAAAATATAAGAAATTTTGTTAGAAGAATAAACAAGAAAAGATAAAATATAAGAAATTTTGTTAGAGAGCTGAAAAGAAAATACAAGTTTGCTCATAAGGAGTTTAAGAGAATAATTTGTGTTGTTAAAATTTTGTTTGCAATAATTTTTATAATAAATTAGATACTAAGGAAGATAAGAGATATATGTATGAACTAGCTAAACAAAAAAGAAAAAAACAAGTAAATATTTCATTCGAATAAAGTGCATTAAAGATGAAAAACTAGCTAAACAAAAAAGAAATAAACAAATATTTCATTCGAATAAAGTGCATTAAAGATGAAAATAATAAAGTACTTTTCTTAGCAGAAGAAATTTAATATAGGTGGGTGAGATATTTTGATAAACATTTTAATAAAGTTTTTGAAAATATGATTAATCTTAGTGATCTTAATATCATTAATAATAATAATTTTTTTTTACTGTTGCATTAGTAAAAAAGAAGTTGAAAGGGCTTAAAGAATATTTAAAGAAAATTAATGGTGAAAAATTAGAGGACCTGATAGTATCCAAGTAGAAGTGTAAATATTAGAAGATTTGGAAGTTTCTTGACTTACTAAACTTTTTAGTTCTATTTTAAAAACCAAAACAATGCCTAAGGAGTAGAGGAAGAGTACTCTATTTCCCATTTTTAAGAATAAAGGTTATGCACAATAATGCTAATTATAGAAGAATTAACTTAATATCATTTATTAAAATTGTAGGAGAGAGTAATTGAACGTAGATTAAGAAGTGATACAAAAATTTCTCATAAGCAATTTGAATTTATGTCGGACAAGTCTTCTATGAAAATTATACATTTATTGAGAGGTTTGATGAAGTACAAAGAGCAAGAAGGATTGACATAGATTTTTATTGATTAAAAAAAGCTAAAGATAAAATTCTAAGAGTTCTTCGAAGAGTTGTAGAAAGAAATGTGTTGATATGACTTATATTCAAATCGTTAAAGATATGTATACTGGAGCTACTACTTGTGTTCAAACAGAAGAATGATTGAGCAAGTATTTTCTTATTTCAGTTGGATTACACCATATATCAGTTTTAAGCTCATATCGTTTTTAGTTATTGATGCTCTTACAGGACATTTACAAGAGGATACACCTTGATATATGTTTTTTGTTGATGATATCCTTCTTATGGATAAGACTAGAGAAAGAGTTCAGAAATAAAAAAATTTAAAAAAAAAATTTAAATTATGGAGATTTACATTAGAGTATGGTTGTTCTAGTGACAAATCCGTAATAACGGGCTATGCAATCATTAAAAGATATGAACGTTTTAGATATCTTGGGTCTATTCTTCAAAGTAATGGTGATATAGATGAGGATATTATTAATAAAATTCAAGCTTGATGTTTGAAGAGGAGGAAATGCACCAGACCTATTGTGTGAGTAATGGTGATATAGATGAGGATATTATTAGTAAAATTCAAGCTTGATGGTTGAAGAGGAGGAAATGCACCAGACCTATTGTGTGACAGAAAAGTAATGCTTAGATTTAAAAGGAAAATTTTATAATATAGTGGTGAGACATGCAGTACTTTATGACAATGAATGTTGGTCTTTAAAAGAGAAGCGTAAAATTAAGTCAAGTGTTGCTGAGATGTGAATGCTTAGGTTGATGAGTGACTTCACACTTGAGAAAATGGAGAAAATGCGAAACAAATGCATCTGGGAAAACTCCACTGGTAGACAAAATTAGAAAGTCTTCTTAAACAATTTGTTCACATTAAATATTGACCATCTAATGATCTGGTTAGGAGAGTAGATATTTTAGATTCAACTTATATTAAGAAAGGTAAAGGTAGACGTAAAAGACTTGCGCATGTTGTATAAAATGATTTTAATTTATTAGAATTAAATGAAAATAGGACACTCAATAAGACACAATGGAGAAAAAATATTATGTTGCCGGCCCCACTTAGTGGAATAAAGATTTTTTGTTGTAACACCTGAACTTCAATTTTTACATGCATACCACCCTACATGAAATGGTAAATTTCAATTTTTAAAAGTTAAAATGGTGGTATTTTTTATGTGATATGAATGCTTTGGGGTATATAACTGTAAAAAGTGAAGTTTAGGTGTTATATAAGTAAATAGATAAGGATTGGGGGGTATGTTGTAATTGGCCCTTATTATTTTTGGTATTTAGTCAGAATATTTTTTATCACCTGTAAATATAATCTAAAACAAAGGCATTAAGAACTAAGCTACACCATCGGCGGCTAGACACAAATGAACTTCCACCTTATACAAACTCGAGAGCAAAAAATGGCATTTCTTTCAAGTTCACAAGGTAGCTTACACATTTGAAAAAAAAAAAAAAAAAGAGTAAGCCAAATTATAAGTAAAAATTCAGGACATATTACTTCAAATTTCTACGTTAGAATCAAGGGATAATTACATACAGACCGTCCAAAATATTGGACCTTACACATGCCACAATAAAATTATTGAGAATTTGATAAAAATGAAAAATATGAGTTGAAGTTTTACAATGAATTTCAATATTGAGTGAGAATTTGAAAAATGGATGAAAGAGAGTGACTGATTTGTAAATAAGTTTCCGGGTCGTCTGCACGTAATTGCCCCAATACTTCCCTCTTGAATAAATAATCAAGTTTCCGGGTAATTGCCCCAATACTTCCCTCTTGAATAAATAATTTAAAGATATGAATGCAAGAAAATCAATAATTCTGAATAAAGACGGCGAACATACAGCATGAAAGATGAGCTACTTCATTTCGGGCCAATGATCCATTCTGCATCGCTTCTGGTTCACAAATAATTGTGGAATCCGAAAACTTTACCCTTCTTCGTATGCCAGCATCTGCTTAGCAGATCATAACACTGTAAATTGCTTCCGTTCAACACAGTTTTTAGACACATTAAAGCATTAACGAAGCCCCATAATTCCAAACTCTCCAATTCCGTTCAAGAAAATAAATAAATAAATAATTATCGCTTTTTTTTGTGGATTTTCATGCGATTGGTAGATAAGGTAGCACGATTACTGCACAAGTTTCACTTCTTTTTCATCTAAATTACCCTAGCAATAATCTCACAGCAAACAGAGAAGTCGGACAAGTTCATGCAGCTTATATCATACGAAAGCATCAAGAAAATAGCTCATAAAAGCCGATTAAACCTTCAGACAGAGAGGAGATGGTACCGGAAGAAGCAGGTGAAACCCTAAATCTAAAGTTGGTTTTCGAACGAGATAATCCTCGCCCGCTTGCGTCATGCTCGCCGTCGCCGTCTGATGAGACCTTCTCCATTTTTGGCAGTAACCCTAAGCAAAAATCCACGACGAAGAAGAAAAGGTCGATGCACTGCTCTCGCGCGAGAGAGACGATTCCAACATATTTATCAGATTGGGTTTTTATAAGGGTAAGGGTGTCTCCGTACCTTCCTTTCCCGCCTTATCATATTCAAACACAATGTAGATTTATAGACTAACCCATGCTTTTTAAAATTCACTATATTACTCAAATTATTTTATTGGTGTCATGCAAGCTATTAAACTCTTAAGTTCTATTTTTTTAAGAAAATATGATTAATTTTTTTATCTTGCGAAAAGCAAAAAATGATTTTTTAAATAATATGATTAATTTTCTAACGTTTAACAAGTAACATTTCCAAATAGCAAGAAAATTAAAATAATAAATTTAAAGATTTTTTTTTTAAATCAATTTATTTTGAAATATTTAAGGCAACTAAAAACATAAAAAAAATTAAAAAAAAAATGTGATTACAAACAGCAACGAAGGGGCATAGAATGAAAACTTGAAGTTGACTGGAGATTAACTTATAATAACAGGAGGCACATGCAATTCCTAGCAACTTAAACATATAGTATAGGGGCCTTTACATACATTCCACAAGATTCTTATAATATTTACATAGATCTTTGATATTTTCATGCATGCACGCAAATCTTTCACATTATCAAAAACATCACAATTACCAACTTTTTGAAAAAGTGAAATGCACCAAAGTGTTATAAATGTAAATATGAAATTTGTAGTTGTTACATATGCAAATAAATAAGAATAGTGTGGTAAGTATATAAATTTCCCTTATATTATATGATAGTACCAATTTCCAATCACTGAGCTTGCCAGTAACTAAATATTCTAACAAAACTTTAAAAAAAAAAATTAAAAAAAAAAAACTGCCCAATCGAGAAAACTTGTTCGGCTATACAAAATGAACAATAATGAATTAACAATCAAAGTGTGATAGGCTCATCAAAAAGAGCAAAAGAAAAAAAAAAAACAAAAAGGAAGTTTTCAGGGCTGGTTAGCGTCAGCTGGAGCAACGGATCTGGCTTGAGAAATTCGATTGGCATAAATGGTTACTAGGCGGAGCTGTGTGCTGCTGAGTCCCTCGAGATAGGGTAAGAATGCTTTACCCAATATGATGTAGATATCCACCAAACAGAACACAACGCTCTGCAAATAATTTCCATCAACAAATGATTCATTTAAGAATTAGCACCAAGAGGACAATTACTAGCATAGCAGTCAGAAGACGCGTTGCTATTTACAAATCTAGTGCCAAAAAAAGAGATTATTTATATGATGGAATAGATAATCATCCTTCTTCGGCACACTCAGAACTGAAGCTGCATCATGATTCAGTTCTAGAGCTCAAACGGAATTTAGGAATTGAGTTTGGCGGTGGAATGGCAAGGGAAAGAAAATACGCATGTTTGATAGAATTTGGATGGGGATAAATATTGCTTGGCAGCTATCTCGGCTGAAAATAGCAAAGATGACATCAAAATGATGAGGCATGGATGTTGAGGAGGTTCACATTTTCCTGCTTAAGCTATTGACACACCATTTGTAAACGGAAGAAGATAAAACACTCTGTTAGGGTATAAATCAAAGATTATAATATCTAAATCTCACAAACAAAGCAAAAAATCTCTCCCAAAATAATTTCCTCATTGAAAAAATCCACTTAGAAATAGAGAAATAGGAAAGAAATTAGAAACGAAAAAGAAATAGGCTGAAAAAGGGTGAAGGGACAGTATTCCAGGCGTAACAAACTTCATGAGATCATTTCATCAGCATCCATGGTTAAGGCTTTATGCATAAAGTGATATACAGTGCTCACAATCTATGTGGCAATAATTTCATACCTTTCGAACATCTGGGCTTTGGTTTCCAAATGCATCAAAAAGAGCAGGAAGAAATGAAGGCAGCTGAGACATCAGTTTCTCGTATGAAAGTCTACCCACCAGCTAGTAAACAAAAAAATGGGGAAAAAATAGAATTCATCAATCTTACTGAGCAGACACATACAAAAGATTCCTTCATCAACAACTATATTAAGCAGAAACATACAACAGATTCCAGCATCAACAAATTATATACTAATACAAGTGTTTTCATAATGAATTGTATAGAAACCATAGCAAGTATTCTACAAAAAAAAAAAGGAACAGACCATTTCAATCTTAGTTGGTGCGAAAAGAAATAGGGGCATTTACATGCATACTAAACAATTCATATGTATTTACAAATCTAAAACCTAAACTTTAATTTTTACATTTATACTTCCCAAATCTTTAATATCACATCAAAAATACCATCATTTAACTTTTAAAAAGTGAAATACACCTTATCATGCATGGGGATGAAAATGAGCCAATGCACTCGAAAGACGACTCAAACTCGGCTTTGATTAAAACTTGATCATATTTGTTTAAATTTATAAACTGAATGTTCTTAAAAAACTAAAAGGTTACATAAACTAAACATGAACATAGTTCAACTTATTTATTTATGTTATTGAACAAACTAGTTTGTAGTTCAATAAGTAAACTTGTTAAATACTCGATGTTAAACTCGATAATAATTCATATTATATATGATATTATTTAAATAAATTTGATTAATTAGAACTTATCTAATTATAGATTTAATAGTAATATTATTGTACCAATAATATTTTAGGATTATTTATTTTTTAGATATATCTTATTAAAATATATTTATTAATTAGCCAAATTTAAATAAATTAACTTAGTTCATTCTCATTTTTACTTATATTTACAACTTGTATATATATATGAGTGTGTGTTTCTGTGAGTTCATTAATTCAAATTGATAGAGTATTTATTACATTAATTGATATTTAATTAAAATTTATTAAATTAATTAATTATAAAATAATTATACATAAATTCATATGTTATAATTCACTTATGACATATTTATTAATTATTAATCAACAACAACAATATCAATCCTTTGTCCCCCTAAGTGGGGTCGACAATTACTAATAATAAATCAATGAAATTAATTAAAATCAATAAATAAAAATATATTAAATCATGAAATCTACTCTCCTGCTTGCAAACCCCTCTTCTGTTTCTCCCCAAACATCTATCTCCTGCTTGAAACCCTTGTTATACACTCAGCAATCGCTAATATGTATTTATGTTATTTGATTACAAAAAAGCTTATTCGTAAGGTAAATATTATCTCATTTAATTTTTATAAAATAATTAGAAACTAATTCAAAATTTATTCAATTATTTATTTATTTAGATTTGTAAAATTATTTGTTTAAAATTTATATGAAAACATGAACTTTTAGCATGTTTATTAACTTGTTTGGACGCTCGTTCACGTAACATAAATAAACAAATCAAACTCAAGCACTGAAAATTTTAAACAAACCAACCTTGAACATCATATGAAATTCAACACAAGCTCATGCTGAACATGAACTTATAATATTAACAAGCCAAGTCCAATTTATGAACCAAATGGCTCAATTAAAGCCCTGTTCGAGCATAGGTAAGGTGAAATGTCCGTAAAAACTGACATTTAGGTGTTAGATACGTAAATACATATGAATTGGGTGTCATGTATGTATATCTTCCAAAGAACCGGTTCAATTTCTTTAGCAAGCTTAGCAATCTCAGTCCCCAAAGCTGGTCAGTCCCAATTGGGACCTTCTTTCTCTTAACTAGCATTAATATTAGGGTTGATTTTCTTTAGGATTATATATATGTTTGATTTGGACTGACTTTGGACAGCTTTTGTTTTAGTTTATGATAATTTGAAATTTCCTCACCTTTCTCTTCTTTAAAAGTGTTGTAGCCTTACTCTTACAAATGTAGTTGTATCTTATTAGAGTGTAGGTGGTGAATCTCTCTCAACATTCATAACTCGTTGATATTGTTGCTAGTTGGTATTCCCCTACTATTTTCCCTCGGAGAGCAGAAATGGTCTATAGCCCCTCTCCAATCCTTGTGGGTTCCTCAGACTTTCACCTCCTAGTCAACTCACAAATTTCCCTCAACACTTGTTTTGATCCTCACAAATCATATAGAAGTCCTAGAGAACGGTGTCAGCCTCATTTCCCAACATTGGTAGTGATTGGAACAAGCTTTGATGTTATTTGGTTTACCCATATGACAACGGGCATATGTTATCTTATGGTCACTTGGGTGTTCTATGAAATTTGTGTGAGGAATTCAATTACTAGCCTTTTGTTTTGGTTGGGATCTTCAAGCCACAATCATGAAGTGATCTTCATAATTCTTATTGTTTGGTGAAGATTTTTTTTTATTCTATCTTTCAACTATTTTAATCATGATTGCGGAAAGTTTGTGATTATAAGTAGGGGTGTCTAAGACATGTAAAAATATTATATTTAATATTATACTTTAATTCAACAATGAATTCCGATTTGATTTAATGCTAGATGGACATGATTTTTTCAAACTTGGTGCATCTACAAACAACACATTTCCTAGAAAATTGTTTCTTATACTAGCATGAGGTGAAGTCTGGATTTATCATTTGGTGATTTGTTTCTTTTCCTCTTCCTAATCTCTAAAGACTTTAGAGATTGGTTTGTACGTGTGACTAATTATTATCATATTATATGCATTTAAAATATTCAATTGCAGCATGCTTTTAATTAGAAAAAAAATGATTTTTTTTAAGCTCTAAGAATTTTAGGGGCCCTTTGGGATCACTTATGATTTTTTGTTTTTCTTATTTGTTTTGTTTATGTTTTACTTGAAATAAACACGTTCGATATCAAAATAACTTTTGGATGTTTTGAGTATTTTAAAAGCAAATTCGTTTTTATTTTTGAAAATAAAAAATAAAAACAAGCAAAAACTGCATTTAACAAATACGTTTTTAAAATAAAAGTAAAAGCAAGAATAAAAAAAATTAATCCCAAACAAGCTATTAATGAGAAGTTTCAAATAGACAATCATGAAATTATCATCTACATTTTTATATAACTCTACTTTTCATCTCAAAAAAATTAATGTGAGTCTAAATTAAGGGCTTGTGAAACATGAACTTAAAAGAGCGCATGATTATGGACGATGCTTTATATATTTACATTTAAAAAACATAAATCATAATGCATCCTTCTTCACTGATCTTTGATGCTGATTGAGTATTTAATATTAAAGTTCAATCTTTATCCGTACTAAGTGATTCGGTAGAGAGAGCAAATTCAGAATCATTTATTTAAAGATGGAACCTAATTTTACTGTCAAAAGGCTTTGTTGAATACGAATGGTTGTTCCAATAAGGTCAACGTATAATTGGTTCCAAGCCATCAAATGATAAATGAATAAGATCACTAAATGGTTCACTTTGGCTCCAAATCTTGTTGATAATATTCCAAAATACATGATCATCTTCATTAGCCTGGTCCATCTATATGAGAGATCATCCTAATGAATCCCCATGATCCATTCATTTATCTATGTGTTTCATAAGGTGAAAGCAATTCAGATTAATATAATATGATAGAAAATCTTGAAACCAGGAGAAACCAAACCTGGGAAAAACTATGATGACAAATTTTATAGCAGAGATAACCATATTACGGATGTGAAGTTGCTAAATAAGCAAACGGTAGCACAGGGTACCAACAATTTATGATGGAAAAAAGGGAAAAGATTAAAATTAACTATAGCAAAGTAATTTTCCCTCCTTACTCATGCATTCCTTTAAATTGACTCTTTTTTTTTTTTTGTTAAGCTACAACAATTCTCCTAACTTCTGTTTTCTAAACTTCTATGATTCAATAAATCTCATTGCTTAAACAATGGAAGGTCCTCCATGGTGAAAGCAGGCTGGGGGCAAGGGGTTGGACTCACCTTGGTCAAACAGTTGATGCAAGTAACAAGCGTCTTTTCATCTTCACTAACTAACATGGGTACAATGACCTGCAAGAGGAAAAACAGCAAAAACGACTCAGACAAAATATAAATTTTCAGGCAGCAAACCAGAAGAAATGTTTAAAGAGAACAGCAAGGTAAAAAAAGAAACAAGAATCTATGGAGGGAGATAAACATACAGCAAGACATCTAAATGGATCGTAAAGGGTCAGCAAGATTGTCAAGCATCGCTGTACCTCATTTGAAATCTGTATAAACAATTAAAGAAAAATTAACTAAGCCACAATAAAAGTACATACTATGTAAGACGAGTATTGTACCTTAGATACAGCATCCTTGGCCACATGAAGTAATTTTTCAATAACAAGTTCAACCGAATCTTCCATCACCTTTTTCTGCAAGAGACAGAAATAAATAAGAATAAATATTCCAAACAAGAGCACTGAATATATATTTCAAAGCTAATTCTGACCTGATTAGTGAGCATTTCCGCTATCAAAGAAAGGGTAAGCTCCCTTATCGAAGAATCAGGACAACCAACTAGCTCAAGCACAGCTGTTAATATTTGATTGAAGTGCTACAAACATATCATTGGCAGTCAACAAAAGCGTTTCATCAAATCAAATACTAAATTTTAAACAATTTAGCCCATCAAAAATAAACTCAGCAGCATCTCAATTTTTTAATTCAAAAACAAAAACACCAAAACTTTCAACCCATTCTTATACAGATAGAGAGAGATAGAGAGAGAGAGAGAGAGAGAGAGAGAGAGAGAGAAATTGTTGTATATTCCATTGAGCATCTCAGACCCTAATTTATACAATAGGATTCTATGCAGAACTAGATCATTCCGCCTTTGGAAATAGGCAATCACAGAATGATTACTCGGCAATTTCACTAGGATAGCACATACATAGTATTACAAGTTTTTATAAATGAACCTATTAGAATATGAAATGAAATTTCTACAACTCATAAGATCAAAGAAAAAAATTATTGGATCAGGATTCCCAGGCCAGCCCCACCATATTAGACTTCTAGGCTTAAACCTCCAAACACTTTTCAAGCTTTAGAGAGATATTTTCCTCCTAGAGTATGCCTATAGTAATAGTTTAAGGAGATAAAGCGGCACATTTTTAGAAATTCTTTCAAAAGAAGCCAAATCTATTTGAAGAGTAGTGTTGGCTTCAAGATAAAATGAAACAACTTGGTTGGCTTGAGAGAGAAATCAAAGTTGTATTCATATCAAGGCTTAACCTGAAGTCAAACTTCATCAAAGAATCCTTGATTTTTAGCATAAGCAACATCTCAAAATATAATGAATTTTTTAGAACTTAAACCTTTTTGAGACGTGATTACCAAGGTATATGCATTTGTGGGCTCTTGGATCAAGCTTTTTGTTTTGATGGATATGGGCATAGGCAACACTCCCAATTATTCTTAGTGGGAGCTGTTAATGTTATATGTAGGAAAAAATTATGCAAGGGTTTTAATAGGTATTTTATTTTACAAATTTCTACGGGGAGTATGGTTTATTATAAAAGTGGCGATCAAGATAATCCCCCTATAAACTTTAAGAACATTCTTTACAAGGAGCAAGGTTCTTGTGGTAGGAAGAATATATTAATTTTTTTTTATGCTACACCATTTAATGTGGAATCTTAGCATAAAAGGATTCACTGAATATTTTTTTGGTGGAACAAAGAATAATCTTCCGAGTCAAAATCTGGTAATCTACCACACCATTTAATGGGGAATATTTATTGAAGATTTCTTCCGTAAAATGCCTTTGAATTAATGAAGTAGACTTCGAGACTTTCAAAACGAGAGGGTATATTAAGGTTATTTTGATTAGATTTAAGTTGAAAGTAAAAAAGTATTATCAATTGAGAAAGTTGTATCCCATAGATTATTCACCATAGAACCAGAGTTAGAGGAGAATGTAGCAAGTTTTCGTTGTTGCCGATCATCAATTAATTAAATATTCAATTCTAATTCAAAAGCAAGGCTTTATTTAGTATTTTACGTGTATATTTATATGTATTTAAACACATATGTAAACTCTGTAATAGATAATTTTCATACTAAAAGGTGCATATCCTTGCACTATACTTCATAAATATAAGAATACACATTATATTTAAATGCTGAAAAGCACTTACCAAAAAGTCCAACGCCGCCGGACTCTCTATTTTGATTATAGAGAACTTTACGGATCAATTTATCATAAGGCAAATGGAATAGTAATAAGACACTATCCAGAGATTTTGCCCTCATTTTGTGAGGACTTTTTAATCTAAGGTTCAAGTTTTCAATTAGGCGCAAGTCACTATGGTTAATTACCCCTCTTGATAACAAGAGAGTACTTCCGATTAAGGCTAGTTATGAAGAGTTAAATATTTAACATAAAATAGCAATAGACATGGGGAATTTATCACTTGGAGCTTAAAGTGTATGATGAGGAAAATGATGACAAACCCGATCAAGATTTTATGATTATGTCATCTCGGGTCGTCGTGGTCCCTGCTCTATTTCGTCAGAGGAGGTCTCCATCTGACTAAAAAATCCTTGTCATCACTCATGTGTGAGTTGCCCCAACATAATTTAGAGAAGAAAGGTGAGTTGCACCAACATAAAAATGCTTGAAAAATGCGAAAAATAAATAAATAAAGTAAACATATTTACAATCAGCCCTAAGTATTATCTTCGATGACTCTAAGAAAAAATTTCTATGCCCTATTACGACCACCTTTGCTACAACTTATTTAACTCTATAGAGCATATTGGAAGCTAGACAACTATTGAAGACAATACTTCCACTCCAGGTTTAATTGTGCATGGTCAAAGAAAAGTTAACAGAAAATAAGCCAGAACAATTATTACAAATGAAAGATTTGGTTTGATGTCACATATGCAATAACAACTATAAAGTGACTAGTTCAATTTGTGAGGATGATGGATGCAGAGAAAAAGTCAACCATAAGTTTTATTTACAATACAATTGATGAGGTCAAAGAGTTAATAGCCAATGATTTAGGAGGAGAGAATGCTTGTAATAAGAAAATTTGGGACATCATTAATGATAAATTTCAGCTTAAATTTCAGCGTCATTTGCATGTTATTGGATATTTTCTTAATCTTCATTTTTAATATGTTCATAATCAACTTAGGGCTATCCCATTTTATGGATAGATTGATTGTTGGCCCAACTAAAAAGGAAATTGTTGATATGCAGCTTGTTCGATTTAGAAATAAGAAAGGTTTATTTGAGATACAGCAAGCTAAAGATACAGTTACAAATTATTCTCTAGATAGTTTTTAATACTTAATATGCTCATTGAAATAATATTGAGTATCTAAATACAATTTTTTTTTTTCAAATTATGTCGTTTTCTTTCAAAAGAAAGCGAATGGCGGATCCAGTTTGGTGATAACATTCCAGAGCTAAAATATTTTGCAATTAAAGTACTTGGATTTACATGCTTGTTGTCTACATGAGAGCGTAATTGAGTTATGCATAATGAAATTAACTGAAAAAATAGAAAAAAAATCTGGCGACCATGAGGATGAGTTCCTTGGTGTACATTATGGACAACAAGTGATTGAATGATAGAAAGTTGACAAAAAGAGGTTTGAAAAATAAGTATAATCCCTTCCTATGTGAAGATATGTCATCAAATGATGGGTAATTTACAGATGACAAATAATAAGATCACGTCATCTAAATTACGACAAGAAAATTTTAACCTTGATTTTTTTATGGAGACGGAAACAATGTTAGCACATCCAACACTAAAAAACAAGGGATAATATACACACACACACACACACACAAGGGTAGGGGGGGCGCGGCAATTGCCCCATCCGAATTTCATATTTTAATGAAAAGGTGCGGCCATTTTATGTTACTTTCATTTCATATTTTATATTAGTTTGATCAGTTGATATCTACATTCTTTTTTTTATGCAAATTTTTACATGATATTTTATGGCTTACATAATTGTTATTTTATATAAAAGTAATTTGTCACTTTTTTACCATGCTAAGAGGTTAATATATCTTTCTTTAGTATATAGGATTTTTACATAACAACCACATGGAACATTAAATATATCATTTTAACCAGCCAAATTTTAAATATAACACTTTATCCACCCAAAACATTAAAAATATAACATATTAACGACCCAAAATTTTCACTCAAAATTTTCATTACTGGATAATGGAGGGTGGTTGTAATGAAAAAAATGATTAAAATGTTATATGTAAACTTTTGGTGGTTAAAATGAAATATTCAATATTATGGGTGGTTGTTATGTAAAAATCCCTTAATATATTTATAGATTATGATGCTGCTATATTATTTTTATCTTTTTACTTTGACTCTAAAAATTTAAATTGTGAAGCTTATGTCTCAAATCAACCGGCCTCATGAATAGAAAACGTCTCAATACTCAATTGCACAATTTTAAAAATTAATAGTAGTTTGTATTTCATTTGTTTTTGGTTAGTTTGTTTATTCATTTGATATTTCAGTTCTTTTCAGTTAGTTTCATATTCTTCCTTCAGTTATATCAATAATTGACTCTTATTTTTTAACCAAATAAAATTTATCTTTTCTTGATTATTTTTATTATTCATATTGTTTGCATACAAAGTTTTTTTTTTATGGATACAAACAAGTTTATATATTACCCCATCATGTCTTGTGTTACTCGGGTGCACTTCCTTCAGGATACAGGGTGCGACACTTCACTGCTTTTGTTTAGTCCCAAACATTAGTTGCATGCTACATTAGTGGTAAAGAGGCATTGGCAGCAGCGTTGAAAGAGTGATAATCAGGAAGAAATTTGTGAATAGGAAAGATGAGGAAAGAGAAGCATGTGCGGCTGGCCCTTCACCACCTGCAGGTTCTATGCCAATTCACCCGTGGCCTATACCTTCCACTCCTATCCACTAGTGGCCCGGGGTCGGACCTATCAGAGATGGTGGTGGACGTGTTTTTTTGTGTGAATAAGTTTAAAAATAAAAATGGAGAGGTACTGGGAGAAGACTTTGGTCAGCCAAACCTGGCACCTGGTTAACAGGTAGGTAAAAGAGGAGATAACAAAAGCCACATTGAGAAGAAAAAAATTTTGATGGTCCCGAATTAGTAAATTCACCTGGCTGACAGCAAAACCCATTGTGGGGAATCAATATGCAAAATTTTAAAACATTGTAATTGAAAATCTTCTCAAAATCCGTACATTAAAGAGTAAAGGGGACAAGATCTAGGAGATCTATTCATATTTTACGCCCAAAAAGAGAGCAAACTAACTGTTGAATTTGACAATAGTGTAATATGAGCAAACCACAAGTATAGAATCTTCATCAAGTTCAAGTTAATCGATAATCATGCGGGATTCAAAACTATTGTCTTTCTCAAACTATACCAAAGTTGAACAAGCAAGAAAACAGAAATAATCTAATCCCAACCTTGGTCCAAACGGAGCTATCATTGATCACCGAAGCTTCAACCAAATTTTGCAGTGCTTCACATTTATTCAAACTTGAATTATCATCACTGCTACTGCTTATCTGACAAGGAAGAGCCCACAATAACAAATTTTCCAACAGACGTGGCAAACAGAATTATCAAATTTGCCCTCCCATAAATGGTTGTAATAAGAAAGGAAATAATGGAGAAATTATTCTAGCACTTACATCGTGAAGTATTTGCAGAATTTTTATTCCAGTACCTACTTGGATATTGTTCCTCACAGAATTAAATTTCTCATAAATAATCTCTAAACCATCTATGCTCTGCCCACCAGACTGAATTACCTTTGAACCATCAGAACTTGCTATTCTGCTGCTATCAAGCTGTGGAATCGTTATGTTATTCTCATTATCAATGTAAGTGTTTGGAATTACAGCGCTGCTTTTCATAAACATATTAATTTCTGAGACACTGTCCACACTGCATCTCAGTTCTCTACAATGGCGATCAACAATTTCATTATCAGAACCTGGTTCAAGGTTTATACATGGCCTTAGGGCTTCGTCTGAAGCTCCCTGTGTAATCGAAGCATCAACAGCAATTGATTCTTGCATAGAACTCCATTTTCTCACACCATCATCCTCGGTTGAACCTCCCGACTGCCTTCCAAGATATTGGCTCTTCTTCGACACCACATTGTAGCAATCATCTGATGAATTTCCAACATCTGTCTGATCATAAAAAGATTTAGGACGTTGCCTTTCTTTCTTGCTCTGCAAGAAATTCACTAGATCAACCTCTATACGGGGAGTATACTGTTTTAGTGACCGTCTTAGAATGTTCTGTTCTTCTATTGACAAGCTAAGAATAAAATTAAGCACCACAGTAGTATCAAAATGACAATAAACAGATATAATGCCACATGTAGAAGCTTCCTTTAATTTTGTGTTTTTATCAGATACAAAAGGTGCCAGTTTAGAAAGCCATAGTTTAAGGAAGCCACTGTTGAGACAACCTTCTGGGTTTGGAGAATGTTTGTTGAAGGAAATATTTGCAAACTCAATAACAGCCAATTTGGCCTTGGGTGACCTTTGTTCATCCAAAGAACGAACAAGAGCCGGTAGTAGAGAATCAATACCATATGTCCGACCAACAATTTCTAAGGTTGTTCTACAAGGTTGTCTGACTGGCTCCTTTGGGTCAATTAACCGTGAAAACACATGCGGTAAGATTCTCTCGAGATAGCTTTCAAAAGGCTTTCGACATGTAGGGATGATCGCTGAGAGAGTAGAAAGAGCAGCTTGTGCCACTTTATGGTGAGGATCATCCAGGTGTCGAAAGAACAACTTCATGACTTTCTCAAAACACTGTGTGACTTCCTGTATACCTTTTGGCCCATGTTCTAACAAATTCTGCAGAAAGTTGAAAGCAGAAACCCTAGCCACCCAATCTGAAGTAGAGCTCAGACCATCAGCAAGAGCATCACCAAGAGAAGTTGGACCATCCATATAATTGGACAATTGGCTTACTTGAAGTTGGCCATCATCAAAACTGTTACGTCCACTTACTAAGGACCTTCCAGTACCTTGCTTTCTAAGAAGTGGCCGCTGAAAATTAGGAACATAATTATTGTATGGATCCCTAAAGTCTGCCTCGCTGCAAGATGCATCCTGATAATGTCTATCTAACTGCATATTTGAAAGTTTCTTAAACCTGGAATCAATATTATGTTCCGAATTGAATCCACCTTGGGCTTTTTCAGAATACTTCCTGATAATGTTAGGCAAAGATAACTCTGACAACGAGTCAGATGGTAAACTACCATATTTAGAATGATCATCAACAGCTTGATTCTGAGAATTCATGACATTAGATAAACTAGAACCAGCAATCCTAGCACCGCTTCTAGACATTTTAGCTATGGTTGAATCAGTTGGCAGTGAATTACGTGAAGAAAGATGACTTGAAGCAGGAACAGTTGCCGGAACAGGCGGAGAACAAGTAGATGGAGGATCAACTCCTGCACTAGGAGCAAATGAAAGAAAAAAATGCTTGGCAATAATCCACATGTAAGAAAGGGCGCAGAGAATAAATAACCAATGAGTAACAACAATTTAATAAAAAAAGGCCACAACTCCCAGTTAGAAAACCAGAGTTCATTGTCAAATTCCAGTAAAAATTTCCTGGTAAAATATCATAAATAATACCTAAATCCAAACTGGTCGAATGTGCACTAGAATTCCTTTGCTTCCCAGATATGTTAACACCTCTCAGTAAACTTTCAATGGCTGAAACTTTCTGTTTGCTTGAATTAAGCACACTTTCAAGGCTTCTTTCAGAATATTTCTCAAGTGGTTTCAGCTGTGAAAAAGCATGGCTGCCTGCAGAAAGTGACTCCCTAGAAGCAAGACTAGAACTTCTGTCCATTGCAACAATAGCTGATGTCTGATATCCAGGTAAATTTGCAGTTCCAGCATGAGATGATGACCGTGAAAGCTGGAGTCCTCTCTCGAGTAGTGATGGGGATGCATATCTTTTATGCATACCACCATCTTCATCATTTAGTAACTATGCATAATTAAATACAATAAGTAAAATCTTGAGCATAAAGGTCCTTTGATGAGTAAAAAAAAACTAGTTTACCCTTTGTATGACAGGATCGAATGATTGAAAAAGACGCCGAGAACGTTCCGGCCAAGTCTTTGAAAACATTCGGTAACAAGCCCGTGCAGTTGAACGAACCTGTTAAATTTCAACAGACCAATAATGATCTATACATAATGGTGCAGGAATTGACGAGAAAAAAAAATTCAACTCATCCAAGCACTGGCTCCGCGGGGTTTGATTATTGCAATTAGTCTTTTTGTTCATAAACAAATTTCAAAAAAATCTTAGGCTCAGAAAACATAGTTCAGCCTTTATGTTTCACTTTTACTCGGTTTACTGGTCAGTATAGACCAATGAAACAAATTTTTAAATCCTATTTCATTTTTTTCTAAAATCGGAAGTTACAGATGTTTTCTATCTGTTATCTAATTAAAAAACTTGTATAAAATAGAATTTGGATGAAGAATGAAATCTGTACTATGAAGCAACACAAAATTCGAGGCAGAAGGTTCAAATATATAATTGAGAGAAGAGGCTACAAAAATTAACATAGAGAAGTTTGAGAAAAGCTATAGAAACCATTCAAAGAAAAACAACCTATTTAAAATGTTTCATATCAAAATGCCCAATTTTCTTAGTGCTAGCACAAAGCTCAGATCAACTTAGAATCCAAATGACCTCACAGGAACCCTTTGCAGTCACTACATCGCTTTCATGTTAAATGCAACATCAAAAATTTAATAAAGCATAACTCTCTTTTGATGAGAAACCAATTTTTATGCAATTTGAATAACAAAACTACATATGGAAAACAAAAAGGTATAATTGCTCACCATAGTTTCAGCATAAAACACAGCTTTGCTAACAAAAAAGCATTCCTTTTAATGCCCCCATATTAATAGGAAATTACCTCACTCATTGCATCAGCAACACAACACTTTATAAGATTTTCATAAAGATCAGCCGATCTTTGTATTTCTGGAGCATCAGCCCAGTACTCCAGTATCAGAACTGCATATTCGCAACACCTGACAATCAAAATACAAATGACCAAGCAATCCAAAATTAGATTGAATGATTCACTGCATATAGAGCTCTCCTACCTGGCACGAAGAACTGCATTACGGTCGCTCTTTGCAGAATCTGATATACGTGGAAGAACACGAGCAACCTTGCAATTCCGCAACATCTGAGAAACTATAAGTTAGAAAAGTTGAAAGTGAAACAACAAATCATTTACTTGCAGAAGCGTCATACCGTTTTTATGCAGTTGTCTGCAGATTCCGCTATTACAAGTACAGTTATCACAACAAGCTTAAAAAGTACCTAAAAATCAAAAATAAAAAAAAAAGATTAAGCAAATGATACTACGGAAAAAGATTAAACAAACTGATTAAGAAAGCAAATGATACTACGGAAAAAGATTAAACAAACTCGTGAAACAAATTACCGGAATGAACATCTCTGCACAGACCTCAAAGTCTCCTGGAAGTTCCTTGGATAAAAAGTTTAGCAGATTGCAGGCCTAAGGAATAAAAGACTAATCAACTAAAACAGAAATCAGTTTTCAAGTTTGTCAAAAAGAATCAAGTTTAGAATCAATGCATTTTCATATTATTGAATTCAGAGACAGGCTGAGTAAAACGAAAACAAAAACAAAAAATTAGCAAACACGTATCCTTCCACATGGAGGAATCTAAAACAACGGCAAACCTGTTTCACTATGCTTGATCGTCTATCTAATAGCTGAGCAGTTAAAGAAGGAACAAGCTGCTTTAAGACCATAGGGAAGGATGGGTACTCCACAGCACCTGAACGGGGAATCAAATTTTAAAAATTATATCCAATGATCTAATGAGCAATTTAAATATGATTAAGCTAGACAGAAGAAATGGCTTTGAAACCAACAAAAGATAAAGACAGACTTTGACAACAAAAAATTGAGGTTGACCTCGTATGGGCTCTGAAATTCTCACCTGAGTTTTGTTAATAATTCAAGTGGTCCAGGTTAAATTTTCATAATAAAGATTCAATGCCATACGAAACACTAATTAGAAACTTCGCCCTCTACAGAGGACTTCATTATCTAATTCAAAGGTTTCCTATAGACACAAGCTACAGTGTTTATTACCGTATCTCGACCACCGGGAACAATTTTGATAGAGGCGAGCTAATAGGCTATACAATCTTTACCATTACTAGCTTCAATTTGGTTTTAGAATATATATATATTAAAATAGATAGTGGGGAAAAGAAGACAAACTTGATTATTGTGTTGCTGACAAGATAAAGAGAAGAAAAAAATAAGAGGAGAGTGAGAAATAGATCAAGAAAACGAAATGGAACTAAGAAAAAAGCTAGTGGAAACACTTTAGGTCATGCATAGGTGGGTTTGAAAGGGAAGCATATTGTAAAAAGTTGAACCCTGTGTGCAAAGGATCCAACCAGACCACAAATAGCCAAACTATCCTATCGATAGCATCTTCAAACGGCCTTCGTCTCTCCATTCCAACTGATGGCAAAATTTCACCATAGCCGCTCGATTCTTAGCAACTCGGTATGTGATATTCACCTAAAATCCCTCCTTGCAGCCTCAACTCTTGATTTGAATACCGATGCTAGGACTTTGCACTCACCATTTACTACTTACTCTGTAACCGTAGAACTCCTTTGGTGGAGCAAGCATCTCCCTTAACATTCTTTCTTCTTTGACTAAGAGCCGCCAAAATCATGTTCTCCCTCTTCGTTCCTTCCTCCCAGTGAGTCTTATCATCCTCCTCTCCTTATTACTATTTCCTTCTCCCTTCCTTTCTTATTACCTCTAAATAAGTAATAATAAAAAAATTTTGTTGATCCTTTTGACCTTCTTTCACCTATTTACTACACCAATTGTGAGTTCAAGACCTTTCTAACACCACCTCTTCTTTATTCGAGCCCTTATCCTCACAAATCAATATTTTCACAGGTACTGAACATCTATCAACCATTAACTTATTTAAGTTTTAACTGAAATTAAGCTATGTTACGGTTTGAATAATTAAATTAAATTGATGATTTTTATTAAAATTCACTAATTATTTCAAATTAGATTACATTGTGTTTTATATAAATCTATAAAATCATCTGGTAATTTAAATGATAAAGTTTAAAAAAATTATAATGTAATAATGATAGTGGTTGGTTTAAACTTTTTAAATTACTATAATTAATCCAAATAGACTATAGAATAACATAAATTTATTAGGTAGTCTAATAACTCTACATGGCTTCAATTAAGACTTGGTTTAATAATTTTTTATTAAATTATGTCTTATGTGATTATGTGTTTGATTACTGAAATAATCTCAAATATCAATTAGGGTGCTTGTTATTTAGGGCCTTCAAGTGCTCATCTAGTGCTGTCTCTTTGAATTTTTTATTTATTTATAGTATAAACATACCATTTCTTATTAATAGTGTTATCTTTGATAGTTCTAATAGTATCTTAGATGCCTTATAAGTTGCCAATAATACCTAAATCCAATTGTTTATTCACATATTTACAAAAAAATATATTTCAAGTTCATTTTCTAATGACGCTCAATGTCATCAATTAAAGGCTTAGTGCATTTTTTTTGTTAGCTAAGACTTTATTTCATTTTGTATTTGATTGCATAATATAATTTTCAATACTAATTTAGGGTTCTTATTATTTAAGGCCTTCAAATTGATAGTCATCTAGAGCATGTTTTTGATTTCTGCAAGTAAAGGCAAGTAAATTATATTTATTAAAGAATAAACATCCCCTTTTTTATTAGGGCAGTATTCATGATGCTTGTAATAGATTTTAGATACCTTATAGGTTGCTAGTTATACATTTCACATTCAGTTGTTGTTTCGCATATTTACAAAGATTGTATTTAATTTTCAGAATGGAATACCATATGATTTAAATGGCTTACCATTTTAAAAGGCTACACAACTTCTATATTTTTTAAATGATTCATTTGGTAGCAAGTTATTGTTGTGCGCTGTGCTATAGTGAATGCAATAAATCATAGAACTTAAGGGCATTATTCCTGATGCTTGTAATAAATTATAGAAACCATATAGGTTGCTAGATATACTATTCACATTCAGTTGTTGCGTCACATAATTGCAGTTTTTTTTTCCATATTAGAATACCATATAATTTAAATAGCTTACCAGTGTAAATTGCTACACAACTTCTATATTTTTTAAATCATTCATTTGGTAGCAAGTTGTCCCCTTCCACATTAATTTAGTGAATGCAATAAAATCTTATTCATGCAAAACCATAATATATTATGAAGCTAACACTAGCCATAATGATTACAAAATACTTGTTAAATACTTACTAATTAGAAACATAAAATGTGTATGGCTTTTTGCTATGGTTGTTGTAAGTCGATAGAACCCTTTGGAGTGTTGGCTAGTGAGGCTAACGAGTACATAGAGTGACAACACTCGAGACTTTTGGGAAACATTAAATTTTCTTGGATTGGCATGTGCATAGCATTGTCATTGCCGGGTCTCAAGCCTTGGTTGTGAAAAGTGAAAGGTTGTGTTAGGTAACCAACATACAGTGTAAAATTTGTCAAAAGATCATGACATCCATTATTTTAATCCTTGCGTAAATGTTAGGGCGTCCCCTAGAAAGGACGCGTTGTATAGCTTGAATAAAATGAAAAAATGTACAAGGACCCTGTTGTAGTGTCAAATAAGCAAGGGTTCTCACATTATAGACATATGCTAATAAAAAAATTAGTCCATAAAACTAATATTATAATAGAATTTTGAAGTATAGGTACTCTCATAAGAAAATTAATGAAATTAGTTGACATTATGGTTCAAATGAAGCTAAATATTTATGTATTCAAGAAACTAAATGGATTAGAGAAAAGACTAAGTAGATTGATAGTTTAGGTTTTAAACTTTGGTATTCATGAATGAGTCGCACTCAAAATGTAGTAATTATAGATAAGAGTTTGAAAGATAATCTGGGAAAAATTGATACAATTGTAGATAGAATTATAGTCTTAAAAATTATTGTTGAAACTAAAATTTTTAATGTTATATGTGTTTATGCTCCTCAAGTAAATTTAGTTATAGATTCTAAAGAAAAATTTTGGAATGAACTAGAACAAATAATACAAATGATACCTCTTCGAGAAAAATTTTTTATTTGAGAAGATTTAAGTGGTAGAAGATTTTAGAAAAATTCATGGTGGCTACGATTTTAGAGTGATTAATAAAAAATGTGGAACCATATTAGCTTTCGCTTAAACATATAACTTTATTATTACTAATATTTTATTTAAGAAAAGAGATAAGCACATTATTGCTTATAAGAATAGGTTTAATAAAATGCAAATTGATTATTTTTTTATGAGAATAAAAGATCGTAATGAATGTAAATATTGTAAGGTCATTTAAAGTGAAAACTTAAATACTCAACATCGATTACTAGTTTTGGATTTTAGAATAGTTTTAAATAAAAAATGCCAGAAATTATTGTCATACAATTAAATGAGAGCACATAAAAAACACAAATAAAATTATTTTTATGCGTAAACTTCAAGAATTCAAGATTTAAAATATTCATGAAGAAGCAAATTTTATTTGGAATAAAGCAATAAACGCTATGAAACAAGTGAGAAAAGATGTACTTGAGTAAATCAATAGATAAATTTTTTAAAAAATAAAAAAGTTTGCGTGAAAAAATAATGTGCAAGAAAAGATAAAATATAAAAAATTGTGTTATAAATTTTGGTTTAAATGTAAAAGTTTGAAGAATTACGAAAAATATAAGGTCGCTTGTAGAAAATCTAAAAGAATAATTTGTGACACTAAAAATTCTGTTTTTAGCGATCTTTATAATAGATTAAATACTAAAAAGAATGAAAAAAATATGTATAAACTAGGCAAACAAAAAGAAGAAAAGAAAAGCTTTAACTCAAGTGAAGTTTATTAAAGATGAAAATCAAAAATTATTTTTCTTAAAAAAAGACACTCAACATATGTGAGTGAGCTATTTTGAGAAAACCTAAACCTTTCAATGAAGTTTCTGAAAATACAAACTTTAATGATTTTAATATTACTAATAATAATAAAATATTTTATTTTTACCGTTGCATTAGTAATAAAGAAGTTGAGAAGGCTTTAAAGAGAACCAAAGGTAAAAAATCAGTAAAACTTGATGATATCCCAATTGCAGTGTGAAAATATTTGGAAGATTACGAGTTTCTTGGCTTACTAAACTCTTTAATATTATTTTAAAAACTAAAAAGATGTCTGAGTGGATGAAGAGTATTTTTAGTCCTCATTTTAAAAAATAAATAGGATGCACAAGACTGTGCAAATTATAGAGAAACTAAGTTGATGTGTCATACTTTAAAATTATGGGAGAGGGTAATTGAACATAAGTTAAGACATAATACAAGAATTTCTCATAATCAGTTTGGATTTATGCTTGGAGGATCTACTATTGAAGCTATACATTAATTGAGAGGTTTGATGGAGAAGTGCAGAGAGAATAAGGAGGATCTACTTATGATTTTTATTGATTTAGAAAAAGCTTATAATAAGAAAAAGGATTTAGAAAAAGCTTATAATAAAGTTAAAAGAGAAGTACTTTGGTGAACTTATAGAAAAAATGTGTTGATATGACTTATATTCAAATCATTAATACTTTGGTGATTCGATTAGGAGAGTAGATATTCTAGTTTCGAGTGAAGCTAAGAAATGCAGAAGTAGACCTCAAAAGACTTGGGCATATTGTAAAAATGATCTTAATTTATTAGAATTAAAT